TTCATCCTTTCTGATGGCTGAGTAATATTCCATTGTATATATGGACCACATCTTCTTTATCCATTCATCTGTTGAAGGGCATCTCGGCTCCTTCCGCAGTGTGGCTATTGCGAACATTGCTGCTATGAACAGTGGGGTGCACATACCCCTTTGGATCACTACATTTGTATCTTTGGGGTAAATACCTAGTAGTTCAATTGATGGGTCATAAGATAGCTCTATTTTTAACTTCTTGAGGAACCTCCACACTGTTTTCCAGAGTGCATCTAGCTGGCAGAACCTAAACTGCAGCCAGAATTCTAACTGCAAAGGAGTGTGGGAGATGTCATTTTTAGTTTTCCAATTTTCCAATCTCTTCAGCAGAAAAAGGGACCTTAGAATGAAGTATGAGTAAGTCAATCCACCATATTTACTATAACCTCGTTTAACACCTAAATAACATCCCAGAATATTGATATGTCATAGTTTATTTAACCATTCCTCTACCAATTAATAATTTGTTTCCATTCTTTTTGCTATTGCAAACTTTGTAATAAACATCCTCATATATTCCTGTTAGATTACCTATGCCAGGATAGAAATCTAGGTGGATACCTAGGAGTGAAACTGTTGATTACAGGAGATATAGGTGTAAAATTAAATAAATGCTCCCTTTAAAGTTTCTGCCTCAATTCTAACTCCTACCATCAACATAAGGGAGCCCATTTCCCCACCTGCTTACCAAATCTTACCATCCACAGGACATATTTAAATAGAAATCAATACAACATAGCAGATAATTAAATCTAAAATTACTAATTTTATAATTTATAACAGTACTAATGACAGTAAATATTAAAAACCAGAAAAAAGAGATCAAAGAGAATAATGCCTTATAGGGAAAGCTTCATGAAGGAAGTGGCAATTAAGTTGGACTATGAAGCATGAATAAACATTGAATGGGTAGAAATGACAATCCTGAGAGTATTAAACAGCATGAATAAAAGCATGGATGTAGGAAAACACTTGCCGTTCAAGGAATGGAACTGTGAGAAATGGCTCAACTAAAGTCATACTTTAGACAAAGACATCGTTAAGATAATACAATGTCCTGAATATTGTGCCAAGCACTTGGTATACATGACCTCAGCTGATATAACACCTTACAACTATGACACCATCAGATTGCATTTTTACCTATAAGAAAGCTGAAGCTCAGATTATATCATGCCCTTTGTTTAACCAACTACCATGGAACAACATAAATAAAAAGAGATGACATTCTAAAGAGCCTTGAATATCAACCAGAGAAGTTTATATTTTATTCTGAAAGCAATTGAAACTTTTGAAGATTTTTAAATAGAGAAATGTCATGAATATGTGTTTTAGGAAGATGAGTCATGCTAATTAATATTATAATCCAGTTCTCTGTTCAACAGCCTCCTCCTCTGAGAGGCCTTTCCTAACCACCCTAAAGATAGCCACCATCTGCCCTCCCAACACACACACCACTCTCTACCCAATTACTCTGCTTCATTTTTTTATGACATATTTCATATCAAATTATGCATTTACTATTTTCTTGAGTGTTTGCCTGTTTTTCTCATTAAAGTGTAAGCTCTGTGATGGCATGAACTTTATTTTATTCCTTGTTGTATTTTCACTACTAGGCACAATACGTAAATCTCAGGAAGTTTACAACAAATATATATTAAATGAATGAATGGAGTGAATAGATGGTTAAAGATAAGAAAGATGGTGCCAAGAATCTAGATATTTGTATTCAAAATATCTTAGTGACCTCCTGACTTTTTGTTTTTATAAGAATTTGATGTCACCCAAAAACTTAATCCACCCAAAAACAACTCTTGACTAAATTAATTAGTTCCATTTCCTATAAACAATTGCCAAAAGAGAACTGATATGTCTTACACTAAAACTTATCTCCACCTGTAAATCCATTTCTTTTTTTTTTCTGGGCATGATAGCATATCTATTTTTTTAAATGCAAATGTATTTTTAAGTAGGTAATATATTAACATGGTTTAACACTTCATTTTTATTTATTTTTTATTTATTTTGTTCATTTTTAAATTTATTTTATTTCATATTTTTTATTTTTATTCATTTTTAGCACTTCAATATTTTATTTAAATTGAATTAATTACATATAGTGTAAATCCATTTTTACAAAAGTATGTACACAGTTCCAGTAAGAATTTTTAGACTAAGCACAATTCAAATGAGTAATGCTGTAGTAGAATTTAAAATATATATATATATAAAAATAATATAAAAAAATATATAAAAAAATAATGTATATTTAAGTCATTTGTCAGAGACTGCTATGGTGGATACAGATGGTTTCAGCAAGGAGGAGTTCTACTACATGAATGGGCTGGATGGGATCTGAGTCAGAACACTGATTCACCAATCTGTGGTGGTATTTCCTGGGTGGACCTCTCAGGCAACCAATCCAAGTTATGTCTATTTTTTTTCTAAGTACTCAGCTCAAAGGGAATTTTCATTTCTTCCTTTTAACCACAGATCCGCAGATGTCATCAACACTTGTTAAACGAGTTTCCTTTTAATTGCTTTCTGCTATTGCACCCAACCCTTAAAATCCCAAGTATCACTGTGATTAGCACATTTACCTGAGAACCACTGACCAGGACAAAAGAAGTGCAGAAGTTTCCTTTATCTTATTAACACCAACAGCCTAAATTCTATCAGTGCATTATGTATAGGTAAGTGGACATTTGCTTGCCCAAAATTCTTGCCCAAGTGTTGCAGTAAAATAACTGAGTTTAGAGGGGGATTTGTAATTTTTTCTATAGCATTTTGGATTTTCTGCATGGAGACACCCCTGTAACACATGTGCATTTGTGTCTGGAATCTGCAGTTTTATATCATGCTTTGGAGAATGCTTCAGAAGGGTGACAAGCAGGTTAATATCCTGTGAATGAAAAATGACTGTGTGACTGTTGTAAAGTACAAAGGAGGAAACAGAGGGAAAAATTCTCTCATAAATCAAATGTTAAATTGTTATCAGTAGTGATAATGATGATGACTCCTTTGTATTTGTTTAATATCTTGTGCTTTCTAAACTGCTTTCATAAATACTGTCTTGAATCTCACAGTATCATTGCTTCATAGGTGTTCTTTATAGAATCGTTTATAAACCATGCATTTTTATTATTCATGAATTAGAAGAGAATCATGTATAGACATGTGCTATTTATTTTTAAAGTATCTAACTAGATAATTATTATGTTAAGTGAACAGTGATTATGAATGCCATTTTATTTATTTATATTTTTTAAGGGTTTTATTTGTTTATTTGAGGCAGAGAGAGAGAGAAGCACAAGCAGGGGGTGGGGCAGAAGGAGAAGGAGAAGCAGACTCCCCACTGAACAGGGAATCTGGTGCGGGGCTCCATCCCAGGACCCTGAGATCATGACCTGAGCCAAAGGCAGACGCTTAACTGACTGAGTCACCCAGGCACCCCAATGCCATTTTAAAAAAACACTTTCAGTTTACAAGACATTTTCATTAAAATATAACAAAATAAAGTGAAACTAATTATAAAATATTTAATGTTCAGATAACTTTAAAATATAAATGCATGCTTTACACAAATATTTCTCTAAAAATTTGCATCTTTAGTCAATTTTTTAGACCTTTAAGACTTACACACGCACATATGTAATTTGCAATGTCACTATTCATGTAAAAATGTGACTAGAAAGAGCACACTCACTGTGATGGAATATAATAAGAACTTTTTTTGAACTAAAGTAAATAATTAACTGTTGTGCAAATTCTTTATTAGATATGTCATATTATTCATAACCCTGATGTTTTCTTATTGGCTGCATCTCTGATCTATCAGTAAAGGAAAGGATGATCATACACATTTAGTAAGTGGAAAGTAAACAGCACAATTATTTTGTTATTGTTTTGTCTATAACACAGACATCACTTTTATGCTGGATGGATGTGCTTCTTTTTTTTTAAATAGGGCCTTCTCCTTCAACATTTTAACACTTGTGTAAAGTCTTCACCTGCAAGATTTCAAAGGATTAATCCACTGTTTCCAAGTACTCCTAGTTACCTAGGAAAGGTTCAAGCCATAATTTAGTGGTTAACTTCACAGGCAGAGGCATTAATCTGCCCAGAAGAGCTTGGAGGGATTTGGAAACATGGTTGACTCTGCAGGTGTTTTTGAGGAGACCTTAGTCAATCTTGTGGTTCCATATGGGTTCCTGAATAATGAATGGCCAAGAGGAAGAACAGGTACACTAGAAGTAGAAGTAAAGACTTCAATGCTATATTTTATCAATTTCAATTGTTCTTGGAGTAGTTTTCTAGGACAGAATGGAAAAGGTCTCAGGAGAAAGTGGTGTTTTAGATCCTTGCCAAGGTGGCATTGAGATTTCATGGCCAGAAGTTGTTGTTGTTTTGTTTTTAATTTTTATAGCAAGATACAATTGATATTCTATGTCCTCTTCCAGTAATCCCCCTTATGTGAGTTTTCAGAAGAATTTATAGTGTGGAGTACCAAAAATATTGGCTAAATACTTGAGTGGTTTTTATGTGTGGGAAGTCTGTCATTTTTAAACAGATATTTAATCTGTGTCATGGTGTGTAAGATCTTTAGGTTATCAGTTAAAGGTAGCTGCATCTGAGAGAAGCATCTGAGCTGGTGACAAGCAATAATCGAAATGGAAAAGGAGGCTAGGGAATATAACTATAAAATTCTACAGCATTTTCAAAGGAAGACAAATGAAAATGAGGAAGTTATTTCAGTCTTCTTTCAAACCATAGTGTTTGGATGAATTCTAAGATATCTTATTTGATCATATTTTAATAGATTTAGATTTATTTCTGTTCTTATAAGAACACCAACCCTAAAACAAATTGTAAAGATAAAAGAAAAAAATTTGCCCAAATCTATATGAAGTCCTGTCCTGAGGTAAAAATTTAAAAATAAAACTAGACAAAACAAGAAATGTATAAATATATCCCCAGTTGAGAGACTTCTAGGAAAAGAAAAGTAATCAATGACAATTTATGGGAGACAGAAAAGTAAGGAAAGGGTGTGGAGAAAAGATTAGAGAACCAAGTGGTCAACAAGGTAGTCTTGGTGGAGCTGAATGCCTAGGAGATGAGGTAAGTGCTTACCCATCACTGCAAGGTGGACGAGATTTAAAATTTTATAGTTAAGAAACATGCTGACAATTTAAAGTCTTTTGAGTGATGTTGAATAACGAGACTGTGAAAATCAAGTAAGGCATGAAAAAATTGAGATAAATTAGTTGTAGTTAGAATGGAAACAAATGTTTGCCTCAGAAAGAGAAATATCAATTTTCTACCATATTTTATATAACAAGCACTAAACTTACTAATCCAGTTTCACAGCTTTGGTTGTTCCCTGTTTTTGAATGACACCTAAGTTAAGCCCAACTATAGTTCCTCAGTTAACTACCAGTCTGACATCTCCATTTGTGTATTGGAAATTTAAATGTCTCTTAAATTCCAGATACAAAATATTTATCATTTTTCCCCCAAGTTACCTTTCCTAGACCTCATTTGACTCTCTTTTACTTCTCAAGATAAAATCTTGTGTCATCTTTGACATATCCCTATCCTTTACCAAGATAGTTAATTAACTACCAAGTTCTGACAAATATTCTATTGTAAATGTTCTCAAATTCATCACTTTGTTTCTTCTCTCCCTCCTTTAAACTATCATCATGCGGACTGCGGATTCATCTTCCTAAGCACTGTATGTCCTCATGTTAGTCATTTCCACTAGATAAAGTCAAAAACTCTTTTGATTGGCACTGAAGGCTTTCCATAATTTGTATCCCTCTGATCTATTTATCCTTTATAATCTAGTAGTCCTCAATATCCCTTGGCTTCATTTATTCACTACTTCAACAAACACTATCTATAATGTACTAGGCCCCACAATATGGCCTGGGTATAAAGCAACAACAACATCAGCAATAATTAATGACATGGGCCAGACCATAACATGGCCTCGACTAGAGGTGAAAAGACTGCCATGTAAAAGTACAAAATACCCTCAGTGTAGATCCATATTAGGGTGAGCCATGGAAGACCTCAACAAAGAGGAAACGACAGAGTTGAGTGATAAAGTCTGAGTGGGAGCTCACTGGGTAGACTTGAGGTGGACATTTTAGACAGAAGAACCAGAGTGTGCAAGGACATGGAGGTGTGAAGGAGTTTGGTTGTCCATGGAACTCTGAGTAGTTTGAAATGGCTGGAACATAGATTAGAAGTAGATTGGAGAATGAGATGAGATGATGGCAGGTTGCCTTAAGACAGGGGCACAGTTTATTTACAGAAACATGAGGAAAAAGCAGAGTGTGGGGTACAGATGAGAAGTTCACAAATGTGATGATGGAATTGTAAATATTCTCTTCTGATGTCTTTAATTTTCTCAGTGGACCAGGAAGTAAGGTTATCAGCTAAGATTGAGGATGAGGTAAAAGGTGCTGGAGGGTTGAGGAAAAAAGAAGTATGGAATAGTTTTTGAAGAGAGTGGAAAAAAAAAAATCAACAGAGGATGTATTAAACACACACACACACACAAACACAAACTTGTTCTCCTGAAAGCATCAACGCAATTTATTTTTATCTGAGACCTAATACATCCACATACTCCCCTCCAATGCTACTTCTTTTTTTTTAAGATTTTATTTATTTATTTGAGAGAGAACACGCTAGAGAGACAGAGGGAGAGCTTGCTTGGGAGCGGGGGGAGGGACAAAGGGAGAGGGAGAAGCAGACTCTCACTGCAGAGCAGGGATCCCAATGCAGGGCTCCATCCCAGGACTCTGGGATCATGACCTGAAGGCAGATGGTTCACTGACTGAGCAACCTAGGCACCCCTTCAATGCCACTTCTAATCTGAAAATCTTGGTGATAGGCCTGGCTAGATTAAAGTTTTCCAATTTTGCTGTGAAGATAGCATATAGTTTAGCAAAAATCTGCATCACTAAGAGTGTTAAACTGCAAATTCTCAGACCCTTTCAGGAATTTGAACTCACTATATCTGAGGTAGGATACCATAATCTGCGTATGTAATACGCCCTCCCAGGTGATTTTGATAAAAGCTGTCCTCCAATCACACTTGGAGGAGCCTCAATATTTAAGACAAAATCTCAACACCTTTGTGTAGCAACAAAGCCCTTGTTGTTGCCTCTGTATGAGGATTTTCCAGGGAAACAGAAACAATAGGATATATCTTTCTTTCTATTTCCTCTTCCTCCTCCCGTCTCTCTTTCTCTCCTTTTCTCTCTCAATGGATAGCTAGCTAGATAGGCATATAAATATATAGATATATAACCAGGGGATCTGTGTATCTAAGATAGAGAGGTTTATTTTAAGGAATTGCTTCATACAATTGTAAGGTTGATAAGGCTGGAAACTCAGGCAGGAGTTCTACTCCCAAGGTAGAATTTTTTTCTTCTCATGAAAAGCTCAGTTTTAGCTCTTAAGTCCTTTAACTGATTGGATGAGGCCCACCCACTTATAGAGGGAAATCTTAAAGTCAACTGATTATAAATGTTTATTATAGCTACAGAATACTTTCACAGCAACATGTGGACTCGTGTTTGACCAAACAACTTGTCACTATAGCCTAGCCAAAGTTGACACTTAAAATTAGTCATTATACTGTCCAGTTTCATCTTTGGCCAATCCATGACACAGTTTGCTGCAAGAAAATTGAATTGCTGGCCATTCTTTGAACACTGCTTGTTATTCCCTCTTCCTAGACTGTCTTCTCATGCCTCTTTATCTGGAAAGTTACCCCAAATTCCTATTTCAATTTAGGCAATACCTATTTGTTGTCTAAATGAAGCATGGTGAAAATACCTAACTTACTGTAGGTTGAACACAGCATGCTTCTCTACAAAAGATTTCTTTGAACTACAGCCATAAATAAACTAGTAAGAAAGATGGACACTGCTCTCACCCAATATAGCACTTCATATTGTGTGTGTTCTTTGTATATAATAAGGACATAATAAATAAAATAGAATCATGATCATACTTCAAAAATTATGATAGGCTTTGGCATAAAGAACTTCTAAGAAATCTCTGTTTTCCTCCCTCCTTCCTCCCCAACCTGGCAAGGTCTTCACTTATTGATACTAACTCTGTCACTGGTGAGAGGGAACTAGACAACATCGTACTCCTGAAAAATAATTTCATAGCATAGACCCAGAGAGGTTCGATTTTAAACTTCTTTCCTTCTTTCTCTTCCTCCCCCTCCTCCTTCCTTTTCTTTCTTTTCTTTTCTTCCTTTCTTCCTTTCCTTTCCTCTCCTCATATACCTTTGACTACTATGATGTCTAAATTGAGCTTCTGGGGGTGAGCAAGAGGAAAGAAATAAAGATTTAGAATGACTGTGACTTATTTCTGATATAGCTTTTATATTTATATCCTTTACTTGCAGACCAGTCACAACCTCTCGTCCATCTTTGCCTCTATGGATGATTGCCCTCATTGTGTTTGGAGTGTTGGCAATCCTGGGAATAACTATTGGTCTCCTGGTTCATTTTCTGGCACTAGGTTGGTAAAGAATACATTTTTATTTATTTATAAAGAGTACAGTTTGTTGTAAACTTCATTTCCATTTCTACCAAAGACAAAGAGATAATTGCAAACAACAAATTAACTATCTTCCTTTAAAATGGCTATCAATGACCCAAGATCCCAGAAATACACATTTGCCAAGCACTCTATTGCAGACATCTTTTGAATATACAAATGTAAAAGAATGTATACAATATAAGGACATGAATGCACAGATAGATAATTGATAGGCAGAAAAAGTAATCTACCAAGATGGTATTATATGACTTTATAATTAAAATATTAGGATAAGAAAGACAAGAAAATCAGCATATACTTCTCATTTTTCTCCAGACTTCCCAGTGGTTTGTTAGCAGTATTATTCTTTTTATATTGTCAACATTTATAACACTTCATTCTGGTTTGTAATCATAATTACTAGATGTTTTCTAAAGAATACTATGGTAAGTGAATCTGAGGGGTGGACCATAGGGAGTTTGCAGCTTATATTTTTACTTATCTCAAATATTCTCTTATCCAGTGTGATTTTTTTTTTAACATCATGAAACACTTATCTTCATTTTTTAAAACAAGAAGCTGGGGTAGCCTTGAGGAAAGCTCCTTAATTTACAGACTCTCTGAATTATGATATAGTGATCTGGATTTCCCTCCCGTGTTCATCCCAACTCACCTCTAGAACGTTGCCTCAGCTGTGAGATTAGAACATATACCCAAAAATGGCACATTAGTATGGTTTCACTTTTATTTTCACTGCTGTCATTCTGCAGGGTCAAAATAGGACTCTATGGAAATATTCCTTGTCTTTTTTCCAGATCCTGAAATCTCATTACTCTAATCATAGAATCATTGAGAACTTTCAGAAAGACCTTCACTTGACTCAAGTTGTGAGGAGATGTATCCCTGATCTGTATCATTCTTCACCCTAGTGTATATTTCACATTTAGGGGAATATTTGCTTCATAGTTTTTAGTCTGGGGTTGTCATTTTCTTTTGTTTCCTTGGAAATGAGCTCTTTACCCTTGTCTTTTGGTCTTTTTAAAAACTTAGAGGAAGGAGAATGTAAAAGAAGTGTTTTTACTCTGTCAAATTTAAATAGAAGTATTCCCATAATTCATGCTTAAGCTCTGTTACTACACTCCAGAACACTCTCTGTACAAAAATAAAAACTGTGTGTGTGTGTGTGTTGTGTGTAAGTTGTAAGTTTTCTTTACAGAAATAAGTTCTAAGTCATGGAAAAGTCATAAAACAATTCTTTCTTTCTGTCCCTTATCTATCTTTCTCAATTCATATTGTCATTTGAACCACTTAGAGAAATGGGAATGTTAATCATAAGGTGCAGGTGTGCCTTATGGATATCTCATCCCCAAGGGGTTGTTTTCATTTCACGAGGTACCAACAGAGCTCACTGACTGATTTCACAGTGACCTCAGCATAGTGAGCCATCTCTGTGGCCATTAGGATTGCTGCATACAATTAAATTAATACTCAATTCCTTGTTCTAGGGTGTAGTTTCTTAGTCTTAAATGTCTAGACATAAAATGTTTAGTTTATCCATTGGCTCTTAGAAAAGTGCCTCATGCAGTTGTAATAAAAAGTTTGTATATTGTCAATTTATTAGTTTACACTGGGGAATATTCATGGCAGCTTGATTATCACAATAGGTAGAAATACCTAGGAATCTAAATAAAGAACTGAAGGATGCACTGTAAACACTGAATTATAAAAAAGAAAGTTGAATAGTTTCAAGATGTATTTTTTACTACTTACGGTAAAGTCTAATAAACTACCATTGCAAAGTTTGGTCTCTATAGTAAAATATCCATGACCCCCAGACAAACAAACTACAATTAACAATGTTGGCTCACAAACTATTATTCATAAACAAATGATTTCCAGCATTTTCTTTAGAACTTTCTGTTTGTCCCATCGCATAGTCTTCAAAGGCAATGATCATATTGCAAAATAGTATTAATATTTATTTAGTGCTTACTATATGCTAGATGCTATATAACAGCTTAATATCTATCACATATTAGGGGTAAGACATATCATATACCAAATAGCTTAGTGTCTATGAAAATTTGGGAAGGAAATATAATGGATTAGGTGTGACTTTGTAGTCAAATCAAATTTGATTCTTGGCTCTTAAGAGTAGCTATATGATATTAGCTAAGTTACTGAATATCTCTGAGATCACATTTCTCCTGAAAAAAAAAAAGTTATACTTCATATATGTTTTATAAAGTATCTTCCCATGGTACATAATAAATGGTAACTATTTTTAGTCATAGTCTGATGATTATGGGACAAAAATCTCATTTTTGTATATAGTCCTATCTGTCTCAATCAAGACATTACTCTTTTTTCTTACCTTTGTCTATATCTATATCTGCTGCATTATGGGTCCAATAAGCACTTTTCACAACGCCCAGGATATCTAATCAACTGTGCCAGAAAGATTCACAGGTTATCAATGTCAAATATGAGCACAATATTTACTAGTTGGTATTACTATGTAATCTATATTTGCATTTGAAATCCATTTCATTTAAATAATTCCTGGATCCTGTTTTTATCTCACAGAAAATACAACCTACTATTACCAAGGTAGCTTTAAAGTGTTGGATATCCCATATAACAGAAATTATCAAAGAGAGACATCACTGGAAAATAACCATCTTAGCAAAATTCTTGAGACCAAGGTAAATTAGGATTTTCCTGTATTTATTTCATTTTTAGTTCTCTGAAATATAAATATATTATTGGAATTTGATGCTTGACTCTATGTTCTCTTTAACAGATGGTTGATGCATTTCAAAGTTCTAGCATTTACAGACAATATATCAATTCTCAAGTCATCACACTGGTGTAAGTAACTAATAATAGCAGTTAGAAAGGAGATCAACCCATTCATACATACATATTTCAAATACCTCTGTAAAAAGAATTTTGAAATATTATAGTCATTAGTCAATAAATTACCTAATAAACAGTATCACCCTCAGCTAAATGTCAGAATAATTGTTCAATATAAAACCAAAGCAAAGATTGGGCTATCTAGTTTTATTCATTAGATCTATTGAGGATTTATTATTTATTAAATGCCTCATCACTCAAATTTCTTAAGTTTTTATGTCCAGCAAATAGCAGATGATCCCTTTGACCAGAGTTTGATAGTCTAACATTTTAGCAGTAGTGTAAGTACAGACCCTGTTTTCTCATGTCTTTCCACTTGCAAGTCAGCTAAATACCTTGTGGAACTATTCTAGAGTTCTTACAGGGTAAGAAAAAGCATATCTACACCAAACTTTGATGACAAGGAGGTCCTTCTAGTCCACAAGTGAAATAGGCTATGTGTCCTCTGCATGTGGGCTTAGAGTAGCATGGAATAGCAGGGGAGCCCAAGAACAGGAATTACTCAACCTGAGCCCAGCCTTTGCCACTTAGTAGCTCCAGAGCCTTGGATGAGTTACTATAACACTTTGAGTCTGTGCACCTATCCGTGAAATACTAATAATAGCACCCTCATTGCCTCTCTCATAAAACTGGACTCAGGAGATCAAAGAAGATATGTATGGAAAGATTTGCAAAAAAACACATTTCCAATGAAGGCAATTTTTGCTTTTACCTTCATCAATGCCACCAGACTATATGCCTGCCCTTCTTCCCCTGCTCCTGGAACTCATGGGCCTCCTGGAATTGCAGAACACATCAAGATCTCAATTAGAATTAACCTTGAGGGTTGATTTGAGTATTATAAAGGGATGGGAGGCTAAAATTGAAGGGCCCAGGTATCTTTCAGAGATCATTGCAACCACCGGAGAGCTTTTGCTTTGTTTTCCCATGCATGTAACTTTAGGTATCTATAGGAAGTGTGGTCCCAAAGGAAGTGATGGAGAGGCTGCAGGACAGATGTTTTCATTTTGGTACACCCTCCTGTGATAATCAAACCTGTGTGTGTTGGGTGCTTCCTACTGATTTATATGCCAAAATGATAGTCATCTGTCAGAAAGAGCCAAAGCATAATAGTGCCACTTCAGACACTAGCCTCAAAGCTGCTTGACAATTCCTACATGTCCATTGGTCAACCTTGCTCACCCCTTTCTGAATTCCAAACCAATTTTTCCTGGACACCACAGTCAGGTTCATCTTCCTCAAGTATGGTTTTATTCAACAACTTCTCTTTACTGCTACCCCTTGACTAGCATTAAAAGTCCTCCTCCGTCTGCATCCCATCTCTTAGACATTGTTGTCTCTGTGACTGGGCATAAAGAGACAGTGCAGTATAAAAATCCTGGGTTATAGAGTCAATTGTACTGAATCTGGTCTGAGTTTAGTAGCTGTGTAATCTTAAGCATATTAGGTAACCTCTCAGAGCTTCCATTTTTCCCTACCTATAAAATGAAGATAATGACACCTATGTTGCAGGGTTGTTATGAAGTCTAAGTGTGATAATAAATCACAGAAGATGCCCAGTAAATGCTAACTAATTATTGCTGTCCAGTTATTCTGGTAGTACTCTTCCTCTCCTCTGCCTGATGAAATTTTCTGCTTCATAATGAAGTAGTGATAACAATACTCTAAGGTCCAGTAGTATATGTCACCTCTTCCATGAAAATTTCTCTGATTCTTTAAGTAAAAAATGACTTACCCTTCTATCTGCAGATAAGATAAAATAAATATCATTGCTTCTGCCTAATTTATTATAGTAATTTGTATACATGTCTTATCTCCTAGAAATCTGTAAATTCCTGCAGGGTAGGAACCATGTGTTAGTCATCCTTGCCTCACCTAGTAGAACCTACTCCAGGCACTTGTCTATAGCATTTGCTCAATAAATGATCAGTGAATACATGAATGTGAGCCCAGTTCTTACGTGGTACTTCTTTTTTTTTTTTTTTTTTTAATTATTTATTTATTTCTTTTAGAGACAGAGAGAGTGAGCATGAGTGGAAGGGGCAGAGGGAGAGGGAGGGAGAATCCCAAGCAGACTCCGCACTAAGCACAGAGCCTGACGCAGGGCTTAATCCCTCTTATCTGGTATTTCTACCCTGTGCTTCAGGCCTTTCCTATTTTTCAGATTTATAGAACTATTTGTCCTCTAAGATGAATACTATAGCTGCATGCTTACTGTCACCAAATAAATGTAGGCAGATGGATGATCCTGTGATTAAACAAAAGTGAAGTTACTACACAAACCCATAAAAAGTCAGAAGAAATAAAAATATGAAAGATCAGGGAATGAGGAAGTAAATGCTATTTTTTAGCAGTGTATGAAATATGTTTATCTCGTTGAAACATATTTATCTTGTTTCCAGTCCTCATAACAACAGTGTCACTGCACATATATGGCTAGTATTCAAGGCTCCCAGATCAATGAAGGAAAACACAAGAAGAAGAATTGAAAGCATCTTACATCAGATGCTGAGGAACCATGCAGGCTCTCTGACTACAGATCCTAATTCTCTTAGACTCATGGGTAAGCTTATGTTTTAAATAGGAGCAGTGTTACTCTTATCTTTTTATGTCTAACATATATCACAAGTACCATGCACAAAGCTGATATTCAATTTTTTAAATGAATATGTCATTATTTTATATCAGAGTAATAATTTGTGTTCTTTACTATTGAGAACATAATAATTAAATCATAATAATGCCATAACTGAAAGCAGTTCTGGGGGGAAAACTGCTTCTCAGTATAAAGCAAATAGTAAAACTTTGAACAGTCCTTAAAAGTAATGGTGTGTACTGTATATTTTTTCATGATCTCCTATTACATTGAAAAATAGCATACAATCTGCCCTTATAAGACAGATCACTTTTTAAAAGTTATTTTTGTGGACTGACAGGAATCATGTTCACTTGGAGTTCTTCCTGTTCTTCTGAGAAAAGATACTGGCAACCATCCACCTTAGATGATATAGAATACAGTTCCAATTAAATACAAAAGAAGTCTCCCATGTGGAACTATGAAGGTGGTATTTCCATATCATACACTCACATATGGTAAAAGAACAATTCAAATAAACCAATATTCTCTCCTTTCTACTGACATTTTATCCTGAGATTCAAAATTATTTCTGGACCCTCCAGCTCTGCTGAATCTAGCATCTTACTTCATTGGCCCCAGGGTATTAGGTGCTAGGTGTTATATTTACCATGAGCTTTTGTTCTATTTCAGAAATCAATAAGGTTCATGCTGAAAAGATTATCAACAACCGTAAGTTCAGATACTTCTTAATTAAACGTGTGAGATGATCTAAGACATAACAGTCAAGATTTGTCACTGTTAGCTAGGCACAATTCTAATTAGATGCTTTACATACAAATCATTTAATACAACGATCCTAAAGATAGATGTTATTATTATCATCCCATTTGAGAGATGAGGAAACTGAAGCACAAAGAAGTGAAATAATCTGCCCAAGTTCATCCAGTTTGTGAGTGGTATGGTCAGAATTCAAACCAGGGTTGCAGAGACCATGGACTTAACTGTGACTTTATCTGCCTCCCACAGTTCTCATATTCTCCAAATGTTGAAGAATCTTGGAGATACTATGCTGGGTATAGAGGTGATCCAGGGGCTGCTAGTGATTCCCGTGCAAATTACAACCTAGCCCCTTCAGTGCAAGATATTGTCAGATAGAGCTACACAAGAATAACTCAGCTCACTCTCTGCTTTATAATCAAAACAAATGTTATCTTCCTACTCTCAATGGAACAAAACTGACTCTGACAGGCTGTGGGACACGAGCAAGGATGTCAACTACGTATGATAGAATCAGGGGGGGTTCCAATGCTCAGAAAGGAGAATGGCCGTGGCAAGCAACTCTCAAAAAGAATGGCCAACACCGCTGCGGGGCATCTTTGATCAGTGAAAGATACCTGGTGACTGCAGCTCACTGCTTTCAAAAGTAAGTTCATCATGTTGCCCAAGGCTAGGGAGACCAAAGACCTTGGAGTTCCCAGCTTCATTATCAGTAGCACTCTCATCTCAAGGGTCCGGGTTCGGAAGACAAATTATATAGAAAGCCAATCTAAGATTTTCCTGCATTACCTATAAGAATGCAAAGAGTCATTCATTCTTGATACTACATTTTTTTTCTCACATGATTCTTATCTCTCATCACTTTATACTCCAGACATCCCTAACTACTCATAGTTGCTAAAACACATCATCCTGTTTCATACCCCTCTCCCCCACTGCATATGCCTGTCCCCCTGTCCTTATCTTTTAGGCAACTATGACTCAGCTCTATAGTCTTACCCAAAATGCTACTTTCCCTAAGAAATCTCTTCCCTAGAGCATGCAGATTTAAGTTTACCTGTTTTGTTGTCCCATTAATTATATACAAAGCACTTAAGCAATTATAACTATCTGTGTTTATGTCCATCTTTCATTAGATTTAAGTTTCTTGAAGGTGTAGCTATTAATTTTTATTTCTATATTCCCATTACTTTACATAGTATATGGTATAGGGACTCAAGATTTTTTTAAATGAATTTAAAAAATCAGACTATCACTGCTAATGAGCTATACAGCAAAGGAATATTAATGTCATGAAAAGAGTACAGTAGATGCAGGCTGCATTTCTATTATTTTAAAATAAATACATAATTTTTGCTTCTTTAGGACAAACAATCCAAAAAACTATACTGTCAGCTTTGGCACCAGAGTAAATCCCCCTTATATGCAACGTTATGTTCAACAAATTATTGTTCATGAAGACTACATCCAGGGTGAACATCATGATGATATTGCAGTTATACAGCTCACTGAAAAAGTCTTATTTCAGAATGATGTACATCGAGTTTGTCTTCCTGAAGCCACGCAGGTTTTTCCACCAGGTGAAGGAGTTGTTGTTACAGGATGGGGAGCATTTTCATATAATGGTAAGTTCAGTGAAGGCTTAACATAGTGTTTGAGTACCAAAGCAGAAAAATGGTGACCAAGGTACAGAGTCAAAGGCATCATTTACTTCAGGATGCCTAGTTCTCACAGGCAATGTCTCAGGAAATGATGCATATGGAGTATGGCTTTGCAAATTGCCTTGGTTTGGAATGTTCTGTGGAGACCAACTGGTTGTAGAAACTCCCCGACCTGGAGTAACTAATTGAGCAAGTTCTGGTTCAAAGATACAAGAAGAGAGATAAGGATATAGAAAGGCAGCATTTAAAAGATTTCAAATTATTCTTTGAAGATTTCTGTTTCATTGATTTGGGTGAGGGAACTGAGTGGGTTTTTAATCTTAAAAATAGTCAAGAGTCAAATGGAAGTTTTAAGCACAGAGGACAAAACAAGTTTTCCATCCTGCTCTATTTCAGAGCAGCTCTTTTACTGGTAATGTTTACTTCCTTTAGGTAAATACCCAGAGGTACTTCAGAAGGCACCTGTGAAGATTATTGACACAAACACTTGTAACTCTAGGGAAGGATATGATGGTTTGGTATCAGATACGATGCTGTGTGCTGGGTACTTGGAAGGAAGTATAGATGCCTGCCAGGTAAGTCTGGACACTAATCATATTGACCACAAAGTGTACAAAAAACTGCTGTTATTTTATGAAAATCATCAATATGGAGACAATCCTATGCTTCAGTTAATTTGCACTTTGACAATTCTGTTAAACTCCCTCCAACTTTGGTGCTAAAGTAATTTTCCGCTACATGCAACATATGTTTATAAGTATTTAACAAACACATAAGTTGGACTTACTCTGAGCCAAGCACCTGACTGAAGTCTTTTACAAACAATTCATTTAATCCTTGTGATGTATATACTATCGTTATCATTCTACAGATGAGAAAACTGAGTCAGAGGAAGGTAAAGTGATTTGCACAAGAGCACACAGCTAGTGAGTGGAAGACCTGGCACACAAACCAAGGTAGTCTAGCCTCACAATCCATAGTCTTAACCGTATTTCAAGAAAGGATGAGTCTCAGAGAATTTCCAACTACTTCCAGCCCATTTCTCTTACCTTCTTAGCCTCCTCATGACTAGGGTTCTAGTTACTTTTCTCAGATATGAAGCCCTGTTCTCCAAGTACATCTATAATATTTGTCTCCCAAAAGCTTTCTCATAGAACTAGACCTTATAGGGCGCCTGGGTGGCTCAGTTGGTTAAGCGACTGCCTTCGGCTCAGGTCATGATCCTGGAGTTCCGGGATCGAGCCCCGCATCAGGCTCCCTGCTCTGCAGGGAGTCTGCTCCTCCCTCTGACCCTCCCCCCTCTCATGTGCTCTCTCTCTCATTCTCTGTCTCTCAAATAAATAAAAAAAAAAAAAAAAAGAAAGAACTAGACCTTATAACTTAGCAGTTCATGCCTTCAAGGTTCAAGTCAACACCAAAGAGCCCCAGAGAATATATTCCAGCCAAAGGTGGTGTTAAGGGTGATGCAGGGATTTACACCATACATTTTCCCTATGGTCTGTATGAAGCATGAATCACAAACTTCATCTGGGCTTATCACTTAGTAAAGTATCTGAAAGTTAATTCTCATAATGATTAATATTCTTTGTTTTATTCAGGGTGACTCTGGAGGACCACTAGTTCATCCCAATTCTCGAAATATTTGGTACCTTGTTGGAACAGTGAGCTGGGGAGAAAAATGTGGTGAAGTCAATAAGCCAGGTGTCTATATGCGAGTGACTGCCTACCGCAACTGGATTGCCTCTAAGACTGGTATTTAAGAGAAAAGCATCTTGTAGCAACTATCTGAAGTCATTTTTGCCTAAGGTTACTCCCAGCCTTATCTAGCATGCATTTTAAATTAGTGTGTACAATGGCTGTTTCGAAAGAATTGTGGTCCTGAGGAAATATTTATGAACTTTAATTTCACAAAACAACAAATCTCATGTTTAGTCAAGAAGGCCTAAGCAAAGAAAACACTCCTATCAAAAAAGGACCATTACTATTTCTCTATTGTGTGAGCCCACATCATGGTTGTCTTACCATAGCATAAAACTCTTGGTTTTAGTCACTCAAACTTTCTGGAATTATGAAAGTATGTCCTTTTCCATTGCAAGTTATCTGGCAGAGCTGTGAGAGACTGGAACCAACACTTTCTGGGGGTTGGATTGGAACATGCTCTATCTGCCTTCATTCATAGCATTTGAGGAAAGGGTATGGTTGTAAACTGACTCTGGCCAGAAGTAGGCACTGAATTAGAGTCTCTTATTGTATGGGGATCTTGATCAACTCTTGAAATCACTGTGAAACAATTTCACCATCAGCAAAACTCAGCAAAAAACATTTTAGACCTACAGAAACCAGGTACACTAATTCTTCAGTGTTGATACAGGTTTTTGTGGAAATTCTTCATTTGTAACACATACAAAAAGGAGTAGCTATGAACCATGAAAATGTATAATGTATTTTAATTAAAACAAATTTGAAAGCAGACTGTCTTTGTACAATAACAAATTTCTTTCTTTTTGTGTGTGTGGTTTTCTTGTTTTATTTTTTGCTTTTTTTTTCTTAATGGTCTTTTGCAGGTAGCTTTTTCTTTTTTTCTGTTGTTTCCTCTTGGTCCATGGGTTGAGTGAAGGCTATAACGTAGTTAAAAAGCTACCTTCAGGCTGGAGGGAGAGGCTCAGGCACACCAACAGGGATGCAGTGGGTGGGTCCCTCATAACTAGATGTAAGAGGCTCCCAGTCAGGCATGAGGCCAGCCCAGCCAGGGTTGAGGCCTGCCAGCCTGAGAAGTTTGGTCAGGTGGTTGCTCATCTTTTGAATGAGGAGTAGCAAGGCAAAGGCAGCTGTTTTATATAAAATTTTATTGACTATTTAAAAAAAATCAAGTACTGCCAATTAGCATCATGTCCACTCATACACTAATTAAAGCAGATAATTTGTGGATTTTTTAAGTGATGGAGTAATGTAGCTAGTCTACTATGTTAACTTTGCCAAGTCCATATCCTGGATCCCAGATTATATCAGTGGTTCTCAAATTTTGAGCTCTTAGGATCCCTTAACATTCTTCAAAATTACTGAGACCCTCAAAGAGTGTTTCTATATAGCCTGTACCTAGGCATACTTATCATACTAAGCACTAAACTGAAAATTGTTTAAAATATTTAATCCACTAAAAGTAACAGTATTAAACTCAATACATGTTACATAAATCACAGAATTTTTATTAAAAAATATGGATATTTGCCAATGGAAAAAATGGAAAATATGGCATTATTTTAAAATATCTGGCTTAATAGAAGATGGTTGGTTTCTCATCTCTGCTTCTTCATTCAGTCTGTTGTTTTGGTTGAAGTATATGAAAGAATCTAGCATTACCTAGGTACGTAGTTGAGAAAGGGAAGAGAATGTTAATAGTGTTTTCAGATATTTGTAGATGTTCTCCTATGAAAATACACCCAAACTCAACAAGTGGTAGTTTCTTCCATGTGGACTTTTAGTCAGATTGATGAGAGAACAGAAGGCAAGCTAAGGACAAGGCAGAAGCTGACAACCCACAGCCGCCCCCCCCCCCATGGGATATATGTGACATTCCTCAGGCACTCCTGGCTGCCCTAAAGCTAAGAAAAGGAAAAACAAATAGTTGACTTATAGAGGTCACAATCCTGCAAGACATGAGTCTCCCTCAGTTTACAAATTAGCAATCTACAAGAACAAAGCATTTCTATCAATAACCTGGCTTCCAGAAGGAAATGTAGATACAATTAAATGTCCTTACAACCTTCAGCCCATTGACAGATACTTGAAGAGGGCAGAGTGTAATGTTCCTCCAGGAAGTTCCCAAGTATCTTAATGCTAATACCTCGCTAGAGGGAAAAACAACCTTAACTTGACAATGGCAAGGCCTCCAGTATCTTGCAGGTCCTCTTTAGCATATGAAAGTTCTTTTGAAAACCTCCCTTTTTCCTTCCTCCCCCAACCCCATAGTATATAATCAGCCACACCTCATACGCCGTGCAGCCCCTTTCTGCCCACAGGTCCTGTCCCTGTGCTTTAATAAAACCACCTTTTTGTACCAAAGACACCTCAAGAATTCTCTTTTGGCCGTCGGCTCCGGACCCCAGCCCACCAAACATCACCTAATTCCAAAACCATATCAAGATCAATGAACTTTTTATGCTTTGTTATATTAAAAACCATTAGTATGTCTTGAATTTTCAATGAATCTTTTATCTGTGCATGATTTTTTAACAGTATTTATTGGTCATTTTGAGTTATGCAGATGTTCCAAATGTTGACACATAATTAATTAACATAAAAATAATTAGTAATAATTCATTAATATCAGAACTGATCCCATCATAAAGTCATTAAGTATCAAGGGGCACATATAAATTCATCAAAATTTACTTTTCATGCTAAATGGTAAATTTTAACATTAGCAACAAATACTATCAGTTGTTTTCCTTAGGACAAGTTTCCTTTACTTATTTTCAAGCTAATGTTTGCCAAATACTGATTTTAATAACCAAGTTTTGTCAGTCATTCTTTTCAAATAAAATGCTGCTCCATGACCAAAGTGGTGAGTTCAGCATGTGAGTCATACAATTGTTCAAGACCTTTATTCAAGACAGCCATTTTAATTCAATATGCAGCAAAAGTGCTTATGTATACTTCTCATTTGGTCATTCAAAATATTACAAAGACATACTCAGCCTCAAGATTTTATAATTTTTAATATTTCATCCAGGGAATTCTTTTTTTTTTTTTAAGATTTTATTTATTTATTTGACAGAGAGAGACACAGCAAGAGAAGGAACACAAGCAGAGGGAGTGGGAGAGGGAGAAGCAGGCTCCCCATGGAGCAGGGAGCCCGATGCGGGGCTCCATCCCAGGACCGTGGGACCATGACCTGAGCCGAAGGCAGACGCTTAATGACTGAGCCTTCCAGGTGCCCTCATCCAGGGAATTCTTTAATGAAGTTAGATTCTTTCCCCCCAGTGAATGTGTGGCAGTGAAGAATATGATGATAGGATGACTCCTGGTAGGGTCTGATGCCAGAACCTTGATTTACTAAGGTGCCAAAAGTTTTACCCACTATTGCTCTGGCACCACTGGTTTGATTTCACAGACCTCTTGAAAGAGTCTCAGAGACCCGCTGGGGTATGCAGGCCAAACTTGAAACCACTAAGCTATGCTAATTTTTTTAAAGAGAAATATCTATAACAACCACAAAATAATTTTGTCCATCCATAAATAACCAGGAGTCATTCATCCATACATATGCACAAAAGAAGCATGTTGAAGAGGCAACGAACCCAGGAAGAGGGATGGGGGCAGACAAAGCTGAGATAAGCCCTATAAGATGAACAAGAAGAAACCAAAAAAAGACTTCTTGGTGAAGGGGTGAGGTACTTGGGTAGGGCATCCAAAGCAGAGGAAACACACTGTCAAACACCATGACTGAACACAGCATCATTTATTAGGTTAGGCTAGATTATATTGTTGTAACACACACCTAAATCTCCGTAGCTTAATGTGTCACAATTTATTTCTCACTCAGACTATTGCCAGTAGGATGACTCATCAAGGCAGCTGTATCAACAATTCAAGGCTGCTTTTATCTGTGGCTATGCTATGTGAACATGTAGCCTCCACAATCTCCATGGCAGAGAAAGAGAAAGCTGCTAATAGATCTACTAACAGAGCTGAAAATATATCCACTGATGGTCTTAGACCATTAGACAGAACTTCTCTAATGACCCCTTAAACTTTAAGGGGGTTGAGAAATGGGAGAGAACACTTGGATATTTGGAGAGGCATAAATTAAATTGGCCTAACCTAGTTCCCGTAAAACAGACCCTTACTAGTACAAAGAATAGATAGTTTCTATAGATAAACAGTAAAGTGCTCTGTTAATCAACCCAAATGATAACTAGTAGGCAGATTCACACAGAAGTTTTCAGGTCAAAAAGGAGTAGATATAGAGCTGGAGGGCTTAGACAGTAAGCAAGAGATTCTTTATGGTATAGTGATCAAAAGTTCAGTCTGGTATTGGAGAGCTAAATTTTTTCCTTAAGAGGGTAGAAGAGGGAAAAGAAAACAGGTATATGCATTTGCTTTCCACAGATGTGTTCATAAAATTTGTGTTAATGCAATTTTTATAAGCTGAATTACACTTTAAATTCTCTAAAATAGCCTGGTATTTAAATAAATATATTATTTTGAATTATTTTTCTATATAGGATATATATGTATATATGTATATTTGCTTAAGTAACAATGAGCTTCCAATTTTTACCTCTGAAATCTGGGTTTATTAGAAAAGAACACCTACGTTCTATCACTTCTCCCAGCAGAGGGCACTATAATCCAAGTATCAAGTTTCTCATAGTTTCCATAAATGTCAAGCTTTCATAGTTACTTGACAACTTTCATAAATGGGCAAAGACTAATCCCATGAGGAGGCAGGGGAAGACAAAGTAAAAACTTCCCTTCCAGTCCTTTTTTTTCCTGGTAAACAAAAAATATAAATTGAGATGATTTGTGCATGTTCTTATCAATTTGTACCAAGTTTCAAATAAGTGGAGACAGCTAACAGCCCAGAGAGCACAGTTTCCATAAGGGTGCCATCTCATCTAGGAGGGGTTAAATATGGTTTGGGGAAGAGCATAGATTCAGTTCCATTTTAAAGGAAGGTGTCAAGAACATTCTTGCAAATGACAATATCAAGTTTCATGATAAATAAAGATGTACACACGGACTAATGGATTCTGTT